GAAAAAGGTGTCAAGGTGGTTTTTGACGTCTTCCACATTTTTAAATTTTTTCCATTCAAATTGTTTTGCAGCGATCGAAACAAATGATAACCAGAAGGTGCAATGTCGGGTGAATATGGGGGATGCGGCATGATTTCCCAATTCATCTCCTTCAGTTTGGCCAGGGTCGGTTTTGCAAAATGTGGCCTGGCGTTGTCATGATGGAAAAGAACTCCTTTCGTGTGCCTGTTCCCATGTTCTTTTGCGTTGAACATTGTTGTACAGGATCCATTTTTCATCACTAGTCACGAGCCGATCCAAGAAAGGTTCGTTGTTGATCCGTCGAAGCAAAGAAATTGCTGTTGACATACGGTCCACTTTGTTTTTTTCACTCAACTTATGCGGCACCCATGTATAGAGCTTCAAAGTGTACCCAACCTTTTTTAAACGACGAAACGCAGTTGGTTTGTTGACGTTCAATTCACTGGCAACCTCTTCCGTCGAAATACGTGAGTTATTCGCAACTAAAGTCCTTAGAACATCGTCATCAAACTTCGCGAATATCTTTAGTTGCAGCGCCTACTGTTTTTCCTTTGCGGAATTCGTATAACATAATATGACGCATATGATCTTTTTCGTTGTCCATCTTCCATGCGTCTTTTCACTAAGTAATTCAAATCAAAATGAAGTTATTTCATGCTTGATTTAAAGTTCGGACTGTCACCTTTCCAACGATATATAATATGTATATATTTCTTTCACGAGCGCCACTCTCAAACGATTCGAACGGCATCCAGCGGAATCGGGCACGAACTTATGCACTCATCCAATAATTAGCAATGAAAAGGCGCAGTCAGGAAACATAAGAACATAACACTAACCCGAGTAGAATAGACGCAAACCTTGCTGAAACATTTTCTTTAGGAAACTTCCATGATAACTTGTCTTCTCTCAAAGCAGATTGGCCTGACAGAATTCTAGTTAACATTAGTTACGTTTTGCTCTTGAAATAACTCATTCTACTTGTAGTCTTACAAATTTATTTCACCACAACTTGCATTAATTTGCAGAAGATCACATTGTGACTACTTAAGGAACTACTTATTGGTGAATAATTCACACAAAACAAAAAAGGTAATTTATGCACGGGGTTCATTTGTTTTAAAGTTTCTCCTCATGCTACAAACCAAGTGAGAGTGAGAGCGCATAATGTTATTATGTGTGGTAAATAGAAATCCATTATTTTTCCATGAAATTTAAGGCTTTAATGTTTGTTTATCATATCCAGTCCTATTTCAAACGATGGGTTGTGCATTTTTTAAGCTCATGGTTAATCGAAACAGTGCTTGTATGATGGTCGAACTCGAAAATGTCCATGATTTTATTGCCATTTCTGACAATGACCTTCCACTCCGTAAAGCATCTTTTACATGAAAAGTAAGGAAAAAAATGAGACCGAAATTGTGCATGATTGACTGTGACATTATGAGCACCATAAACCCTATTAAACTTTTCAGCTGGCCTGGCTGTGTTTTTTTACCTTACCTTATATTATTTTTTCTTTGCTAGTGTCCATGTTTGACGCACACTCAAACAAAACTGAATCAAAAAATCATTACTGACATATAGGCTTTTGTAGTACGAAATATTATATTTCTTACGCCATCTAGGGGAACCCGATCGGACTTATACAACGCGAGATTAAGATAAATAACACCATCAATTGGAAAAATAATAAATTTCTATTTACCAAACCTACATGTTTGGCATTCACTGCAATACTTTTTCAGTTCTTCTGTCTTACTTTGACTTGACGACTTGTTATCTCTGGCACTGCGTGTCTTTATCTCTGCCCCATGGCTATGTTATGGAAGTTATTTTGGCTAATCTTCATTATCAAGAACAATGGCCTTTACAGGGAGTGTTTTTGACTGTGTGCTCTTTATAATTCACCTCAGTTGCAATTGTCGTCCAATGAGTATTTTCTTCTTGCTTGCCCTCACCGAAAGTAATGTAAGAGCGCCACTTTTCATCACCAGTCACCATCCGCTTCAGCGTTGAGTTAATTTTATTGCGATTCAGCAGCGCTTCGCAGATGGAAGTTCGATCCATGGGGATTTTTCTCGTTAACTCATTTGGCATCCAGACATCGAGCTTCTATGCGCGTATAGTCTTTTTCAAGCGTTTAATTCAAACTGGTTTTGTGCAATATTTGGCTCATCGCCAATCGAAAGGAAGGTTGCACGTTAAAATTTAACTTCGTTTTAAAAACATATGAGGTTTTAAGAAGCCTCAGAAATATTTTTTTTTTTACTTTATTTACTTTTGGAACAGCTGATTTGCATTGTTCCTTTTTTCTTCTTTACAGCACTGTCACTTTTTATCTAATTTTTAATGAACATTTAGCAGGAGGCGTAGAAAAATAAAATGAATTTTTAATATCGTTTAAGTCAACTGAAACAGACAGTTGATGCTCACATTAAGCCACAGAAATGCAGGCGTCAGGTCTGCAATAAAAATCAGATTTGAATTCTGAGCCGTGTGAGATTTGTAACGATAATAATCAAGTTGGAACAAAGAAAATGTGTCATCGTCTTAATAATAGTTTTTCGATTGCTCTACTTTACCGCTTAGCGCAGCAAAGAACAACTCAAGGGCTTTCATATTTTCTCTAGGGCGTGGCGCTTTGATTTCGCTCCAACGCTTGATATCTGAGAAGGGTTCATATAACCACATAATAATTTCGATTTTCCAACACATTTTAGTACTAACTCAGTTCTAGATTATTAAAGCAGCTCTTAGTTAAATTACAATAAAATTTCGGTTTCAAAATTAAAAAAAACACTCATCTTACTTAAAATATTGGTAAGCCCTTTTTCGGCAACCACATAAAATAGTAACGAAATGCAAAATTAAAAAAGTAGAAATTTGACAGTCATCGGTACTGAAAAACCTTACAATAATATTAAATTCCGTTTTCACACATTCAGAATTTAAAAAAAAAAATAATTAATTTAAAAAAACATATGCACATGAGTATATGTATGTACATATAAGAGTCCACGCACGTTATTTCCGATGTAGCAAATGAAAGTAAGAGACATAAATAATTAAGCCAAAAAACTTCGTTGATACATTTATTTATACATATTTGCATGTACTTTTGTATATCTAGTAATATTTTCAGTTAAGCCCCAATATATTTTGCAACAAATAATCGAATATTTTACAGTGATATTTATTAATAAAGCAAATTAAAAAATATAACTATTGCTGCCATATATGTACTCGTATGTTAGCTATATACTACATATGTACATACATATGTGACGTATGCATTTTTGTGAAAATTGTCAATGAAAAAAAAAAAATATGCACAAATTTATGCAACACTAATATTTGTGTGTATATGTGATTGTATGTGGGAAGATGTGAAGTTTTTACTTTGAGTGCTATTAATTTAGCTTTGAAATTAAAAATAAGAAAAACATTTTTAAGAGTATATTTACCAGATACTGCTATAAAGTGCCCACTTTAAAAGATGCACCATTGAAAACCTAAATTGTTTAAGAAGTTATTTTTATTAATATTGGGTGAATGCACTAATTCATGCGGTTTTTTTCGAAAATTAAAACTTTATTGTAAAAAAAATTATTTTAATCATCTGGAAAGGGTTGTTTGAGCAACTCCTAATACTTTTGCAAGTTCTTTTTGCGTCTGACATACATCTGCGTCGAGCAAAGTCTCAAATTCTTCGTCTTGAAATTTTGTTGGCTGTCCGTCGTCTAAGTCGAAATTGCCACTTTTAAACCGTACAAACCACTTTTGGCACGTTCGTTCGGCTAAAGCATGGTCACCATAAACGTCAAGTAAAATTCGATGGCTTTCGGTAGCACTTTTCTTCACCCTAATGTAATGAAGAAGAACTCCCCGCAAAAACTTTTTTCAGGTGCAAATTTTGACATTTTCAAAAAAAATAAAAAAATTGGTTTTCACGCTTACACAAATGGCATCTACTGAACACGACGCGAAATGGCAGTAACTTTGAAATGAATATAGTCACACGACCTGAAATGATACTAGAAGAGCCCTCTCTCTCTCTCTTAAAAAACCGCACGAATTAATGCAAAAAAAAAATAATAATAAAATAATAAAGATAAGGAATACTATCTCATTTAATAATTTTTGCCAACAAATCAAGAAAAATTATTCACCCAAAAACTATAAAGAAAATTGTAGCCATTGAAGCTCATACTTTAGACATTGGCATTTCTTGATCAATTTTTAATGATTTTTTAGGCTTCCTTCCCTTTCTTGGTTTACAAGACATTTATTTATTGCAAATTTTCTTTTAAGATGGTTTTTTTTTGTAATTTTTTTTTTGAACTACTTAGCCTCTTGATTTCGTTTAAAAAATAATAATTTTTTATAAACTCATAAACTTAAATGAGCAACCCTCATACATAAAGACTTTGGTAGCTTATTGTTCCTAATACTTTTTTATTCTATTCATAGATACTTACACAGTTAAATATTATTTGCTGTACATATTTTTCTCAATTTCCTCTCACTCTGAATGACACACGCATACATACATATGTAGTTGTGATTTTTACATAGCTTCTGCACAATGATATTTGATCGTGTTGATGGCTTTTAATATATTATATATAAAAAAAAATTATGAAATATTTACGCATGAATAACAACAAAAAATATATACATTGTTAGTTGGCAGAAGAAAGGAATTGATAAATTGAAATTTTTTCCTATTTTTTCACTCCTCGCAGTCGGACGTTTTTAACACAGTTTACAACTTTTTAGTATGCGATATTATTTGTAGATCTTCCTTTTTTTTTTTGTTATTATAACAATTTTTACATATTTCGCGTAGTTTATCTTGAATATATTTCGAATTGAAGCATTTTATTGTTAACTGGTATTTTTAATAAAAATTTAAATCACTTTTTTCTAACAATTTTTTTGCAACCTATTTTTGCTTTTCTTTTCTTTCATTGCAGCCGGGTCAGCGTCCACGACCCCATGAGGATGGCGGCTTTAGCAGAGGCAGAACAAAGGTGAGTGGCGTGAATGCGAATTTAATTGAATTTCGTATGAAATTTCATTAAAGAAATTAATTGTATGTTATATGAATATATATATGTACATGTAATATTAATTACACATGTAACTTTTATATTTTGCCACAAGCCTACCCCAACCAGCGTTTTCAATTTATGTCTAGCCAGCTACTGAGCGACAGTTCATCAAATGAAATTCGAGCTTATAGCTGTTAACATTTTCTTCCAACAAATTAATTATACACGCTTGTCATTTGCATTTGTTGTCTAATCTCGAACAACTAAGACACTATGAAGATATCTAATTTCACTTAGACATGTGAGTGTGTGTGTATGACTGGATGAGTGTCTCCATTGTGTGTGCCTATTCTTTGGGTGACAGCTAATCAACAACGTATTGCATTAAATTAAACAGCAAACGCACAACGATATATATATGTGTAGTTGTGCATATACATATATATATGGTTTCATTAATGAAAGCATAAATAGATTGATAAAGGGTGATTTTTTAAGAGCTATTGAAAATTAAAAAAAACACACATAAAATTCAGAAAAATGCATAAAATTATTATTTGAATTGATAAATAATAATATAACTAAGCTTTTGACCGCGCCTCAAATGGTCCATCCTCTTAGTCCGATTTCGTCATACTCTATCCAACATTTCGGACTGCATCTCTCGAATAAGTGCTTGATGTCCTCCAATGCGTCAATTGAAGCGGGCTTGTCTGTATAGACATTAGATTTAACAAAGCCCCACAAGAAATAGTCTAAAGGTTTTAAATCGCACGATCTAGTCAGCCGATTGCACGGTCGCGAAAGTGAAATAAAATGTTCACCGAACTCGCCTCTCAACACGTCCATTGTTATGCGTACTTTGTGGCATGTGGCATCGTCTTGTTGAAACCACATGCCATGCTAGTAAGCCTCTTGCATTTTGGACACAAAAAAGTTTGATATCATCTCACGGTAGCGCTCACCATTCACAGTTACGTTACAATTCGCATCATTTTTGAAGAAGTACGGCCCAATGATGCCACCAGCCCATAAACCACACCAGTCTGCGACTTTTTCTGGATGCACTGGTAGCTCTTGCAATGCTTCTGGCTGATCTTCACTCCAATATGGACGATTCTGCTTATTTACGCAACGATTAAGCCGAAGATGAGCTTCGAATCGCGGGCGGAAGAAGCGTTTGATGAACTTTCTTAACAGAGCACGCATTTCGATAGTAAAGATCAATAATTTGCAAGCATTATTCATTTGTATGGTGACTCATGGTTAAATTATAGACCAACTGAAGATGTTTGACAGTGATAAGATACACAAAACCTACGTCAGCTATTTAAACCAGTGTTGCCAAAAATATAATAGCTAAAAAATCACCCTTTATTTACGTCGTAATAGTAAGGTGATTCGATAATATATATATTTTTATTACATTCTTCTTAATACATCTTTTCCTGTGAGTGATGAAAATTTTTAATAAATGCCTTAGATTTATATGGATTTTATAATATTACGTATACGCACTGTTGTACCCGGTACCCATTACTCAAGTAAAACTAGAATAATTTGTCGTATAATGGATACCCTAATGCAAACTTGTGCATAAATATGTAAGCATACACATATGTATGGTACATACGTACTAGTATGAATACCGATCCAATCAATTTGATTCTCTCCTACAAAGAATATTTCCCTTACGCCTTGTATCATGCATACAATAGCTTTTGCATTTATGTGTGTGTGTGTGTGTGTGCAATTTTTCCTTATATATTTCTTATTTCATTTTTCTATTTCTTGTGCGAACAAAGCTGTCGCTTAATCACGCTGAGTACTTCAATTTTTCTTCTAACATTTCCAACGTGTCAGCTTGTTCGTTTTTCCTCCTCTTCTCTTCACCAAATATTTCCTTAGTTAATGTGTACTTTTCGATGTCTTCTTGGGTTATATCAAAAATTAATATGTACATACATACGCGTTTGTATGGGTGTGCTTAGTTAACTATGCGCATATGTCGGTGCTTCTGTGCAGGTGTATTTAATACTTTATTTCTGCTTTCACGCCATAACCATTACTACTGATAAGTGCTACGTTTCACTAACTCTTGTTCAATTCAAATGATGAGGTGTTATGCGTAAGTATAGAAGTGTGTGTATGCGCGTGCTTTCACACATCATGATTTCACCTTTGTATTAACTAACATATTTTTGCCATTAACTCGCATGGCAACGATGTTATTCGGATTGAGTTGCATCATAAAACTCTAGTATTAATCCGATATCATCACTTCGAATTAGAAACACTCAATGATATTAAGCTTAATGTATTTTTATGATTATGACGTAGTCAAATTTTACATCTTACGTTATTAATTAAGTTACTACTTTAGTATATAGGAAACACAGTTGAGTATCTCAATTATTTGCATTTTTATTTGGAAATCTGAATATATGATAGATTACATATGAATATTATTATTACATATTATTATTATTAATATTTAGTGTTACAAAACGGGCAATAGCAATAATATTTATAATAATTTTGACTCTTTATAATTTCATCACTTAAAAATATATGTAATGACATAAATCAACATCATTGGTTTTTTTTTTTCTTATAAAATAATTTCTGCATTCTACAAAATTTGCTTCAATTTTGTTTATTTACTTTATTTTATTTTTGTAAACTGTGATTCATAAATTTACATTCCTAAGTTCATTTTAAGATACTTTTTTTAATATATAATTTAATTTAATAAATTATTCTTGTTACTTTATTTTATTATATTTTATTTTATATTATTTTATTTTATTTTATTTTATTTTATTTTATTTTATTTTATTTTATTTTATTTTATTTTATTTTATTTTATATTATTTTATTTAAATTTAATTTAAAAATTTTTTAGTTTGTTTTATTAGATTTGATTTTACGTTATCTAACTTTGTTTTAAATTTAACTTATTATATTTTCCTTTACCTTACCTTAATTTATTTTAAATGTTTCTTTTTTATTTTATTTAATTAAATTTTGTTTTATATTATCTTTTTTATTGTTTTATTTGATTTTATTTTTATTATATAATTTTATTTTATTTTATTTAATACTATTTTATTTTAAATAATTTTTATCTAATTTATTTCATGTTGTTCTATTTTATTTTATTTAATATTATATTATTTTGTTTTCTTTTATTTGATTTTGTTGTAAATTACTTTATTGTAATTTTCTAATTATTTCATTTTCATTGTTTTTTATTTTTTTTTTTATTTTATTAAAAAAAAATATTTTATTTGTTTTGCTTTTTTAAATTATTTCCTTTTACTTTCTTTTAATTTATTTTATCTTATTTTCTTTTTTTTCAATTTCATTTTATGTTATTTTATTTAATATATTTTATTATAATTTATTTTATTTTATTTTATTTTGTTTTATATTAATTAATTTTATTTTATTTTATTACATTTATATATTTAAATTTTATTTTTTTAATATATATTTATTAAACTTTTCTTGGAGTACTTTTGCACACAGCCAAGCTTCAACAAATACTCAAAACACTCCGAAACTCTTAGGCTTGGACAGATATAATAATCTGTTTTTATTTTTAGTAAAATATTAAGAAGTTCATCAACAAGGCAGCATGTTGTCCATTATTAAGTTATGCTGAAACTTTCAGCTAACTAAATATAAACTCATCCTGTGATAAGACAAATATATTGTGAAGCAAATAAGTACATACAAAACTACACATGGCAACTCGTACCCACTTACATACGTATATGTATTAATATATATTTTAGCTTAAAAGTAATCAGTCGAGTGTAAGAACGAAGGTGAAACTGTATTTATTTTTAAAAAGTTGAAAATGAAGCAGCAAAAAAGAGGAAAGTGGTTTCATAAACTGTAAAGTAAATAAAGATGTTGAAATTTGTACGTGTATGCATGTGTATATGTTTGCGTAGAATAAGCATTTCCCATCCACACATTATTTACGCTTTTATGAGAATAATGCGGATTATGAAATTATAAACTCACTTAATTATAACAGAGAAAACCATGAAGGTATGGACATATGTATTGTATATGCATGTGTGCGTTTACATGAGACTGTACAAAAACTTAACTTTTTTGCAACTTTAAAGTACTTGTGTGTGGGTGTGAAAGAAATACAAAATCTATGCGTGGCATGAGCTCGTGATATTTATTTACATTCATATATAGTTGAATGTGAAGAACTGGGCACGCAAGCAAAATAAAGAAGAGACAAATAGTAAATTAACTTAAAGAAAATATTTGTTGATACAAAAATACATTATATACTTTAAAAAGTTTTAATAATCTAATAAAGCTGCTAAGAAATGAAAAAAACAAGCTGAATGAATTTTCTAATCTATTAGTTTTGGTAATTATGCATATTCAAGTAGTTAAATATTATAATTGTGTTCAAGTGGGGTTGAAAAATGTGGGACTTTGTGAACGCATGCCGATTCTTAGTTGGCCCGTATAAATTAACAGAAATTAAATTTTTTAGTAGTAATAATTTTTAATTCACTACTTTAAATTAATATAAAAAGAATTTAATTGACGCGCACGGCGTTTAAATGCTGTCTTAAATTGGACGTTAAAACAAAACGAAAGAAAATTTAATTAATTATCGAAACATTTCATTAAAAATTCTGTGAGTTTCCATGAACATTTGTTATTTTCTGAAAATTAAAGAACTAGCTCAAAACTCAAAAATTTTGTTTTATGCAGTTTTGAAGAAATTATCATTTGATATTTCCACCCTACATATTCATTTGTAGATAAATATGTTTATGCTAAGACCACGCATAAAAGTATTAATACAAAAACGCACTACACACACTTATATACATTTGTATGTAGCACATGCTAGGTACATATATAAGTGTTGGTTATGTATGTTAATAATTGTCTGCTGAAATGAGAAGAAAATGCAAATAATTGAAATTTTGCCG